CTTCTCGCTGCGCCCACCCGTTGCCGACTTATATAGCCGGGAAGCAGGTGCCACAGGCCGGTTTTCGCCCGATCGTCGAATTGACCGTTTCCCGTGTTAACCCTATGGCGCACGCGAGCGCGTGCTGACGGCGCACCCCTGGTCCAATCCGTCCCAAATTTTAATACAGAGGTCGCCTCAACCCACAGATTCGACATGCCAAATTTCACGCCGATACGCGGCGCCTTTCAGGCGCAATAAGACACATAAGGCATGACAGTCGTACAGACATGTTATAATTCATAATATAGACTAGATGGCATGTTTTGCGCTATAACTGTGCTTTTTGATAGATGCGTTTGAGGGGGCATTAGTTTGGGTGTGGGAACTTGTGATTTTTATTTGTCTTATTTTGTCGGAGCTGGATATTTGTTTAAACGGCATGGTATGCTGGTGCTGGTTGCGGGTTGTTAGAGCCTTTCTCATGGTTTGCCTTTATCGAACTCAAACCCACCCTACCCTACCCTAACCTACCCATACCCTACCTTACTTATAACCTACACATAGTTACCCTTCTCATACCCGATTAAAGTAATGTACCAAATTTGAGCGCAATCGGCCCAGCCGTTCTTGAGATATAAAAGCGGCCCGCTGCACGTGCGCACGCGCTAACTGAGACTCCAGATGACTTGTGCCAGCCACCCTTCTAAATTGTTCCTAACGGTGTACAAAATTTGAGCGAAATCGGCCCAGCCGTTCTTGAGATGTATAGGTGGACCCCTCACGTGCGCACGTGCAATCGATTCACCCTACCTGTCACACATGACCATGCATCGCCAGATTAGTGCCCCCTCCACCCACAGTCCAAGTTTCAGCGCAATCGGCCCAGTAGTAGCTGAGTTATTCCTAGTACAAAAATGTGCTGTTTACTGGTGAGCGCTTATTTTCAGTGTTTGGAATTCCCCTTTGCGGGCGGTGCATTGCAGCCCATGCTTTGATAGCTATTGCCAAAAGTTGAATGACTTGCCGGCCATAAGCCATCGATCGGATTTTATCGAAAAATACCTGTAACGTTAACAAAACACGGTCGTATGTTTGAGTCATTTTCACAAAAGTTTATTGACTTTTCGATAATATTTTGGGTGGATATTGGTCAGAAAAGAATGCTCTTTCCGAATATGTAGGTTTCATAGCGATTGGTCAGCGTTTTCAATACGTTTTGATGTTGTAAAGGACATCGCGCTCCGCGCGAATCAAATTTTCAAACTAATTTTATATTATTAAGGAAATGGTACGTATCATCAGCTTTTGTTTGCTATTCTCTGATTACACATACATTTGTCTGCAAAATGGTACAACACCGATTTCATTCCGTCAAACCGTTTTCCAGCGGCATCGATTTTCCCGTCACAATGCACGAAATCGGTCATTTTTTCGCAACTGGGGGTGCTGTCTTGCACGTGGCGCAAGCTATGCTATGAAACCATATCGATACGCTAGTTCCATCTCTCCTCTATCCAGTGGTGACAACCCCGTGTCGCTGCGACTCTCCGTTGCCGACTTATACAGCCGGGAAGTGGGCGCCGCAGGCCGGTTTTCGCCCGATCTTCGATTTGACCGTTTCCTGTGTTAACCCTATGGCGCACGCGAGCGCGTGCTGACGGCGCACCCCTGGGCCAATCCGTCCCAAATTTTAATACAGAGGTGACATCAACCCACCGATTCGGCATGCCAAATTTCACGTCGCTACGCGGCGCCTTTCAGGCGCAATAAGACACATAAGGCATGACACACGTACAGACATCTTATAAATCATAATATAGACTAGATGGCATGTTTTGCGCTATAACTGTGCTTTTTGATAGATGCGTTTGAGGGGGCATTAGTTTGGGTGTGGGAACTTGTGATTTTTATTTGTCTTATTTTGTCGGAGCTGGATATTTGTTTAAACGGCATGGTATGCTGGTGCTGGTTGCGGGTTGTTAGAGCCTTTCTCATGGTTTGCCTTTATCGAACTCAAACCCACCCTACCCTACCCTAACCTACCCATACCCTACCTTACTTATAACCTACACATAGTTACCCTTCTCATACCCGATTAAAGTAATGTACCAAATTTGAGCGCAATCGGCCCAGCCGTTCTTGAGATATAAAAGCGGCCCGCTGCACGTGCGCACGCGCTAACTGAGACTCCAGATGACTTGTGCCAGCCACCCTTCTAAATTGTTCCTAACGGTGTACAAAATTTGAGCGAAATCGGCCCAGCCGTTCTTGAGATGTATAGGTGGACCCCTCACGTGCGCACGTGCAATCGATTCACCCTACCTGTCACACATGACCATGCATCGCCAGATGAGTGCCCCCTCCACCCACAGTCCAAGTTTCAGCGCAATCGGCCCAGTAGTAGCTGAGTTATTCCTAGTACAAAAATGTGCTGTTTACTGGTGAGCGCTTATTTTCAGTGTTTGGAATTCCCCTTTGCGGGCGGTGCATTGCAGCCCATGCTTTGATAGCTATTGCCAAAAGTTGAATGACTTGCCGGCCATAAGCCATCGATCGGATTTTATCGAAAAATACCTGTAACGTTAACAAAACACGGTCGTATGTTTGAGTCATTTTCACAAAAGTTTATTGACTTTTCGATAATATTTTGGGTGGATATTGGTCAGAAAAGAATGCTCTTTCCGAATATGTAGGTTTCATAGCGATTGGTCAGCGTTTTCAATACGTTTTGATGTTGTAAAGGACATCGCGCTCCGCGCGAATCAAATTTTCAAACTAATTTTATATTATTAAGGAAATGGTACGTATCATCAGCTTTTGTTTGCTATTCTCTGATTACACATACATTTGTCTGCAAAATGGTACAACACCGATTTCATTCCGTCAAACCGTTTTCCAGCGGCATCGATTTTCCCGTCACAATGCACGAAATCGGTCATTTTTTCGCAACTGGGGGTGCTGTCTTGCACGTGGCGCAAGCTATGCTATGAAACCATATCGATACGCTAGTTCCATCTCTCCTCTATCCAGTGGTGACAACCCCGTGTCGCTGCGACTCTCCGTTGCCGACTTATACAGCCGGGAAGTGGGCGCCGCAGGCCGGTTTTCGCCCGATCTTCGATTTGACCGTTTCCTGTGTTAACCCTATGGCGCACGCGAGCGCGTGCTGACGGCGCACCCCTGGGCCAATCCGTCCCAAATTTTAATACAGAGGTGACATCAACCCACCGATTCGGCATGCCAAATTTCACGTCGCTACGCGGCGCCTTTCAGGCGCAATAAGACACATAAGGCATGACACACGTACAGACATCTTATAAATCATAATATAGATCTGATTTCAAACACGAAATTCAACTTCTGTCTCACCTGATGAGTTAATTTAATTATAATTGTTCGCTTCGTGATCTCCCACCCCCCATTTTTCATGTTTTGGCGGTGCGGCGGAAATGACGCACAGGAGACACACGAGACACAGCTCCAAAACAACAGAAGCATGCTTTCCCTACGGCCGACGAAATTCTATAATATTTTATTTCCAATTTGTGATCCCTTAACATCTAAACTTTGGTAAAACGTCCATGCCGTTAAATTTTTTTTAGTTTGCTATTTAGATTCAGCTGAGAAAATATCAAACGGAACCCCATGGTTCCGAAACTGGGCGAATTCATTAGTATTTATCATTTTTTTCATCTTAAAATTTTTGTAAAAAAGGGTCCGTTATAGCCGTTAACATCTAACTGAGTGATTACTGACCATATAGCTGGAATAAATAATAACTGAGGATTTTGTGGAAGTAAAAAAACCATCGGAGCAAGACCTCCTTAGCGAAGAAAATAGATGAAATACTGGAAAATAGGAGTTGATGGCTGAGGATGCCCCAGGGTTTTCCGCATTTTAATTAACTTTCACATCTTATTTGGGGGGATTGTTGTACCTTATTGAATTCTCTGAGCGATTTTGAATTTACCAGTGTCCTAATATCATCAATCCAATCTTTGGATTTCACGAAATCGACGCTGGCAAAAAGGGTTTTTGAGTGCCTGATTTTAATTACTTTTCTGCGTAAGTAAAATTTAGATGGGTATGAGATAAATTATTCACCAATGAAATCAAACGTTGCGGTTTTTTTGCCAGTTTGGGTGAATTCTGTAGTGTAGTTATCGATTTTGAAAATGTAAATGCTGCTAATGGAATGCCAGGAATGTGAACCCATAGGGTCCATGTTGAAGGAAATTCTCGGCGTTACCTAGTATTTTTATCTACCGTGGCCGGGGCGGAGCGACGGTGGTCCCGGCGGACGTGGGGCTTGAGGCCCTCTGAGGACAATGTGGGCCCTCTGAGGCCGGTGTGGGCCCTAGCTGTGGCCAGCGTGGAGCCCTCCGAGGCCAGCAGCATTGGGCCCTCCGGTGCCAGGCCAGCGTTGGGCACTTTGAGGTCAGCGTGGGGCCCTCTGTCCCTTGACGTCTGAGGCTGGTGCTGGACCACCTGAAGCCAGCGCGGGACCTTCTGAGACTGGCGTCGAGCTATCAGAAGCCACCTGGAGGGCCTCGACAGTCAGACTTCAGCCATTATGCATGTTAGAGTCCTCTTATGCCGGAGTGTGCCCTTCCCTTAGAGGCCGGTATGGACCCTCAGCTGGGTGTGGGCTAGCTAGCTATGGGCTGGTTTAGGGTCCTCACGAGCCCACGTTCAGCCCTCAAGTGTCTGCATAGTGCGTTGGCTATCAAAGATCCGCAGGGGCCCGCATCCCGCTGGGGTTCCTGGCTTTTCAGCTCCACGCCATGCTCGGGGCTGCTTGAACATCTCATTCAAGCTTGGCTCCTGGGTCAAGTAGCGACATACGGTAGGCGGCATTCTGAAGCCAACGTCGAAAATCACGAAGAAATTACTTCAGTCATGTTTCAGAATTCAGGTCAATTGAAGGTTGAACTCTTTGCACGAGGAGCTGATCGACGCATCCCGAAAACAAATGCTCAGAGGGCAGGGTAATGACGGTGTCCCAGACTCCCGTGCCATCAAGCTCCTCCAGGACGACTCCCAGAGCCGCAACACCAGTCTCCGATCTCGAACCTGTTCGGGGGCCAGTACAAGTCCACGCTGCGCTGCGTCAGCGGCGGGAACCAGTCGGCGAAGTTCGAGGCATTTTCACACCTCTCCGTGCCGATGCCTGCCAGGGCCAGTCAGTGCTCGCTCCACGAGTGCATCCAGCTTTTTGTGGAGGGCGACACAATCAGCGGCTGGACTTGCCCGGGGTGTCAAAGCAGTGACGGGGCCACCAAGCTGCTTGACATCTGGCGTCTTCCACCAGTTCTGATCATCCACATACAGCGCTTCTTCAGCGACGACAGCGCGTGGAAGAAGAATCAGTCCAGTGTCCTGTGTCCGCTAAAAACCTGGACATGTCACCGCACTTGGCTACCAAGGATGCGCACCAACAGCACCACAGGTATCAACTGTACGGTGTGGTGAACCATTTTGGTTCCATGGACAGTGGCCACTACACAGCCTTCTGCCACGCACCCACCACGGACAGATGGCACAAGTACGACGACCATCAGGTGCACGAACTGAGCGGGGGGAGCGTGCGAAGCTCGGCAGGATACTTGTTGTAGAAAACCGAGCCACCTCTCACACGCTGTATTCCTTACGTCATCGTGTCGCGGCGCCAACTGCCGCCGCGCGCCCGAGCCCGGCCGGCGCGGCGGTCCACAGTGCACACACAGCTGTGCGCCATAAAACTAGCGCCGCAGGCGCAGGAAATGCGGCCCGCCGGTCCCACGGCCTCGGCGCGCCCACACAAACACGGTCATAAGCACACACGCACAATACACACACAAGGCACGCTACGTTCTACTAATTCATAACACAATTCTATTACACTCCCCCCTGATTTATAAATCACCATACTGCGTCAGTGTAGCGGGACGCCGCTCCCGCGTGCTCCTGCGAGCAGCTGCCGACTCCTCGCCATCGTGCGAGGCCCCCTCCGACTCGCCTCGAGCCGCAGCGTCGGGAGTGACACGCTGCTCATAAAAGATAATTGGGGCGCCCTCGTCGTCACTCTCATTGATCGGCGGACTCCTGACCTCGGCCGGCTGTGGGAGAACGGCCAGCCTCAGGTCCCGCACATGGCGCGGCACTCCATCCGCCTCAACACACTGTTCAGACACAATACGGCTCACCGTCCCAAGTGAACTGGCCACGTCACAGCGGCGGCTCGGGTCCCTGACCCAAACCTTGTCCCCGACCGTAAAGCGGCTGATATCGGCATCAGCTGGCGTGTCTACATCTGGGACTTTCACTCGGTAATTAAACAGCGTTTCCATGGGGCTGGAGCTCTGATCCTCCGCGCGTGGCATCACGTTATAGCGATACACCGCCTCCACCACTGAACACTTCTTTCTGGCCGCTAACGTTTTGATGGAGCGGTGGTTGCGCTCCGAGATGCCGTTACCGGACGGGACATGAGCTGCTCGGTATCGAACGGAGACTCCCCACCGACTGACGAACTCATTGAACACGGCACTTCGAAACGATGGATAGTTATCCGTCAGCAGCTCAGTGGGAGCGCCTCGCTCCAGGAAGATAGACTCGAGCTGCGCGATGACACTCTCAGCGTCCTGTCGCTTTAGGCGCCTCCAGATCGCGTAGCGAGACGGCCCACAATCCACTAGGGTCAGGTAGAGTTGATTGTCGGCGTGGCAGACGTCCATGCTCACTCTTTCCCAGCACTCGTTCACCCCTAGCGTGCCGCGCACCCAGCGCTGCGGCGCAGGGTCGACCGATTGGCACGCCTGACACTGGCGGATCACGGCACGCACCTGAGCTCTGGTGACGTCAGAGCTCTGCCTCCTGCATAGTCTCAGGGTTCGTGTGATGCCAGGATGGCCGCTGGTGTGGTGAATCCGTGCGATGTCGGGCTCTGTGACGACGGCACCGCACACCATCGACGCGCCCTGCGGGGTCAGCCACTTTTTTGGCACTCTCGTGAGCGCGTCGGCCCGGTTCTCAGCCGATGGGACGAATTTCACGCAGAGTTGCATGGCATATTCTTCACCCAGCTTCTTCACTGTCTCAAGACGTCTCCGAATTAGCATCTCGCTCGCTGCCTTGGTTTTTACACGGGCTCTGCCAGACAGGACGTCGGACAGCCAGTGATAGACGGTTCGCGAGTCGGTCATGATCGTCACATTCTTCAAATTCCAGGACAGTGCCAGATTGAGCCCTCGAATCACAGCATCTAGCTCTGCGAGATTGATGTGGGTGTCCGAGCTCTTCCGCAGCCAGCAGGCGTCTTCAACGACGCAGTCGTTGATCTCCAGCACGGCCCCGATGGCGAGGGAGCTGGCATCGACCCACACCACACCTCCGCCGTCTCCAGAGACATCCCACCGGCCCCGCGCGGGGTCAGATGTGTTCACACGCTCCACCATCTCAATGACCATTGCACAGAGCTCCGGGTCAGTGACCTCGTCATCCCATCCACTGGACACAGCGGTGACACGCCTCTTCAGATATGACGCGGCCACGCGGAGCCAGCCGGCCACAGGAACAAGACTGGTGAGTCGTCCGCACAGAGAGAAGACTGCCCGTCTCGTCAGTTTAGGGGGCGGGCTGATGTCGGTTCTGTCACGCCTCCAGAACAGCCCGTCTCGCTCCCCCCAGACCCTTAGGCCAAGCACACGGGCACCATCGATCACACTTTCTGGCGCTTTGCAGTCCAAGCCATGGTTCTCGAGATGGGCCTTCACTTCAGCTGCGGTGGCGACCTCCTCATTCACAAATATGTCATCGACGTAGGAGGATGTCGCGCTGTCTATTCTCTGGTCCAGCCCGAGAGCCATGCTGAGCACTTTTTTCATCACCAGCGGCGCACAGCCGATTCCAAACCCTAGTCTCGTCAGACACCACCTTTTGCCCTGAAACACAACAGTCTGGTAGGGCCACAGAGACTCGCTCACATGCACCTGCAGGTAGGCGTCTTTGAGATCCAGAAGCGACACGTTCCGTCCGAACCGGCGCCACTCGCGAATTTTCTCGCTACACACGTCTGCGGCAGCCGTATGCGAGTCCAAATACTCATTCAGCTCTCTGAAGTCCATGACCGGGCGCACTTTGTCTTTGTTCGGCTGAATCACCGCCATCAGCGGTATTGTGCCCTTTGCCTGTCCGTGGACACGCTCGTCATAGGGAACAAGCCATCCGTTTGTCATCCACTTTGTGAGCTGTCGCTCATACTCCTGCCTGGCCTCTGATGGTATTGAGTACTCCTCCGCTTTGTTGAACAACTGTCCTGGCTCATCCCCACACCATTTCAATTGCACAGACCACTTTTTCTGGCTCTCATCGTAGCTCACAATAAAGTCCTTCTCCTCCTCGCGCCATATACCCGCCGCCGCCTCCGGCGCCGCCATTGCCCGCGTCTCGGTCACTGTCAGGGCCCCAATTGCCGCTGACCCAGATTCCGCCGCCTCGGTGGGTGCAGTCGACTCGGCCAGTGCCGCCGTCTCAGCTGCCACGGGCGCCGCCTCAGGCACCCGTCTCTCAGCCACCGCCGCCGTCCCAGCTGCCGCCGGCGCCGTATCGGGCGCCCGTCTCTCGGCCACCGCCGCCGTCCCTGCTGCCGCCGCGCCGGCGCCATCTCGGGCGCCCGTCTCTCGGCCACCGCCGCCGCCCCTGCTGCCGCCGGCGCCGTCTCGGGCACCCGTCTCTCGGCCACCGCCGCCACCCCGGTCGTTTCAGCTCCGAACCTCACATGGTTCTCCGCACTCACCGTCACGCCACCCAGTGCACTCACGCCGTTCATCCCCAGGATAAACTCAAAGCCCAGCGGCTTCCGTGACACCACAAGCACGCGCACTGATACCGATTCGCCAGATTGCGATCGCACCTCCACGACACCCGTTCCCTCGCACCAGTATCGGTCACCGCTCACCGTCATCACGCTCACTGCGTCTCGATTCCAATTTCGACACACCGACACGTGCGCTACACACAAGCTGCATCCTGTGTCCAGCAGGGCGTCACAGGTGGCGCCGTCCACCGATACTCGCACAACGGGCAGCGCCCCGCTCACTGGAGACCGGGAGAGGAGGCTGGCGCCGAGCCCTCCTCTCCGCCGTCGTTTTCCGGACAGGACGAGGCGATATGACCGGGCCGGTTGCAGCGGAAGCAGCGCACACTGCGCCGACCGCCGCGGGCCCCGCCGCGCTCCCGCTGACCGCGAGCAGCGAGACAATCCCGCGACAGGTGGTTGGGCTGTCCGCATGAGTGACAGGTCACGCGGGGTGGCGCCGCCGACGTCCGCGCTGCTGCTCCCGTCGCTCCTGCCATGGCAGTCTCTTCTTCATCGGCGAGCACAGCTCGGGCCCGGCTGATTAGCTCGCTCAGCGTCATGCTTTCGACGCGGCTTCCTGCACGAAGCACACGGCGGGTGGTCTCCGGCAGTTTTGCCACGAACGCGCAGGCTAGGCCGCCGTCTGACATACCGCCAAACAGGCCGGACAGGCGACGCAGCTCTGCAACGAAGACATCCACCGGCTCACCTCGACGGAGCTTCATCTTCTCAAACCGGTCATAGGCGTCAAACTTATCCTCTGCGAAAGCCGAAATCAGGCCATTTTTGATGGTCTCGTAGCCAGCCTTGTCCTGCTCGTCCAGCTGCTGATAGACAGCGAACGCCCCGCCAGTTAGGCGGAGGGGAACGACGACGTGCAGCGCGTCGATGCCACGTAGACGGCACACCAGCTCCACCTTCTCCAGCCACTCTGTGACAGGCTGAGTCGCTCCGTCGAACTCAGGTATGAGTCGGAGATCGGCTGCAGCGTCTGCCGTACTCGCCGGCTTCACTCCACTCTCAGGCGCACTTTTCTCGTCCTTCATGGCTCTTACTCTCTGTCTCTCACACAAAGCCGAAATAGCTTGTAGAAAACCGAGCCACCTCTCACACGCTGTATTCCTTACGTCATCGTGTCGCGGCGCCAACTGCCGCCGCGCGCCCGAGCCCGGCCGGCGCGGCGGTCCACAGTGCACACACAGCTGTGCGCCATAAAACTAGCGCCGCAGGCGCAGGAAATGCGGCCCGCCGGTCCCACGGCCTCGGCGCGCCCACACAAACACGGTCATAAGCACACACGCACAATACACACACAAGGCACGCTACGTTCTACTAATTCATAACACAATTCTATTACACTTGTTTTACTCGGCCATCTACCAGCGGCTATAGGCTCTGCCACTTCCGCCCGTAACCGAGCGAACGTTTAGTTCGTCCTCCATTCTTGAGGGCACTGTGAGTTTGTAACGTGACTGCAATGACTGTGTTACGAAAATATATTTATCAGCATGAAGCTGAAAAAATGAAAGTTCATGTCACCAGAGCCCATGAAAAGTTAACTTTCGTCTATTTCGACCCTCCCCCTCCCCACCATGGCGAAGTTTGCCCTCGAGGATCTCAGGGCGAATATAGGACCCACGGGGGCCACGTGGGCCTCCGAAGCCTGCGTCATGTCTGGGGTCTTCAGAGGTCAACGACATGGAGCTCTTACGGGAATGGCGCGAAAACAGCGTGGATCCTCAGTGACCAGCATGGCTCCTACCGGTCTGTCAGGAGCCAGTAGAGGTCATCAGAAGTAGTTTCGACAATTACTTTTGATGGAGACACGCTAGAGTGATAGAAGATCCTGAATGCATTCAGCTCAACAATACTCCTCGACTTTTGTGTACTCCATACAAGAATGAGCGCCCACTGTTTGTACTAAGTAACTAAGTCCTCGACTTTTGGGCAGCATGACCTCTTTCTGGCAGAGCATGAGCTTGACCTAAGGTCACATTATTGACCATTCAGCGTGTCTCGGCAAGAGAAACATAATGATAGTAAAAACAAAAACTTCCGAAGGCATCACTGACGGAGGAGCGGGAGCAGGCGTGTTAATCGAGAGGCCGGACGGCGAGGTGACGGAGCTCCGCATCGCCGCCGGCCGCCTCTGCTCCAGTTACAGAGCGGAGATGATCGCGCTCCAAGCAGCTGCCGACTACCCAACAGACGACCCCGCACACGAGGAGGACCCCATCATCTTCTGCGCCGACTCCATGGCGGCACTCGCGCGCCTCCGTGAGGGACCGGTGGCGCATTCGCCTTCGACGTGCATCAGAGCCGTGCCGGTCACGTGGGCAGAGGCCGTCAACTATCCGCACCGGGTGCCAGGACAAGATGTGTACGGCAGCGTGTGCAGGCCTCTGCCGAGAGGAGCCGGTGTCGCCAAAGGCTCCTGTTTGCGACTTCCGGTCCCATGTTTGTGTCATACGTCTGATCCAGCCCCGACTCTGAACCTCGTGGATCGTGTCCGCCCGCGACGGCGGCTGGCCGACAACTGGCGTCCGCAGCCGACCGGCACACAGTTATCGGGGTTACATGAGCACAGTAAATACGTATTTAGCCGCTAATTCGAATTAGGAACGCATCACCGACTCATGTAGCCACCTGCTAGTACGCATCGGCGATCCGATCCGCGGTTACATGAGCAAAGCAATTAGCAAATACGTATCACGATCGGATTCACCGCTAATGCGAATCAGGAACGTACTACCGACTCATGTATCCACCTGCTAATACGAATCGGCGGTCCGAACAAAATCCGCTGAGAAACAGGCTTAGGAGCGAATAGGGCCAAGATACGTATTACAGGAACTATTACTTCCCAAAAAGAAGCCTTAAAATGAAAAATACAAGGTATTTTGACATTTGTTGCTTTTGAAATCAAAAGTTAAAAAATATTTAGGTATTTTGTCAAGTTTTCAAAATAAATGCGGCCCTGGTGGCGCAGTTGGTAAGGCGTCAGCCCGCGGTGCGGGAGGTTCCGGGTTCGATCCCCGGTGCCGCCCGTTCCGCGGGCGTCGTCCCCAGCTGTGTCACCAGGAGTGGGGTGGGCTCCCACATTAGCCGTAGCCCAGGGGGGAGGGGTACCTTCCTGTAAATGGGCATATCGGCCCGTTGGAAGGCTGACGAATAAAAAAAAAATATGATGAAAACAAAAAAAGAAAATACCTAAGAACTTTCAGTGGAAACATTTTTCTGACAGCACTACAGACGAATCGAGAGAGGCAAGTGAGCAATAAGTCAAAACAATACAACTTTATTTTCAACTTTTTTCTCTAGTTAACTTAGAATGTTATGAGCAGATGAAATGCAAAAAAGACATGAACATATTAAATTATCAATTCAGTCACCTCTATTGCTACGGAAATGCGCCACATTTGTATGCTATTCCGTTTGTAATGCGCATCGGGCCGAGAGCCAATCTAGATCCGTTTGACGTCACTAAAACGAATTTGATCATGTAGTCGGTGCCGTGAATAAGTTCTAGGGGAGCTGATGCGAATTAGCGTAGTACGTATTTGGAACGGATCGCTCATGTAGCCGAGGTGCACGACTCGGACCGGAACTGGACGTATTTCACAAGAACTATTCTTTGCTGAATGGAAGCGTCAAAATGCAAAATAATAAGCATTTTTTATTGAATGCTTTGTAGAAAATAGCAAAAAAAAAATTGTTGATATTTTGGTTTAGTCTTTGAAGGTGAATTTGGTTAATAGCAAAAATAAAATGAATGAAATATTTTGATGGATAAATTTATTCTGACCACCCTGCTGTCGCTGCATGGCTAATCAGTGCTCAGTGATTTAAAACACGAAAACTTTGTTTTCAATTTTTGATTTCATGTTTACTTTTAATGTTTTTGAGCATATCAAATGATGTTATATCGTTCAATAATTAAAATTTAGTTCGGTCGTCCCGGTAAATGCCGCAACTGCGCCATGACTGTACGCTAATCCTACTCCGTTTGTGATGCGAATTATCGGCCGTCGAGGAGTCAGCCCGGGTGAGCCAAACAAGATCCGTTTGACGTAGATAAAACGAATTAGTCTCATGTAACCGGTGCCGTAGATACGTTTCTGGGGAGCTGATGCGCATTAGCGTAGTCTAGTGCGTATTTGGAACGGATCGCTCATGTAACCCCGGTAAGTGAGCGGGCCACGCGCCACCAGCGGAACAGCGCGGATCGGTGGCGCAGTGGCGGCGCCAGGCACACGGAACAACGGGGCAGCGCCTCCAGCCGATCCATCGGGAAACAGTGATACTTGGGAGCATTTTTGCTCAATGTGCCGTTCAAAGTTGTTTAATTTTTAAAGTCAGCAAGCAATCAACATGATCAGTTAAACGCCGTCGATAGGGAGGACCTATAAAGCGATAGCTATGCCAGGTCTACTCCTCTATCAAGTAGCCGTCACTAGAAACTGTAGCTGCGATAGTGACAACAGGTGTCGCTTATTCAGCAGCACAAAATGTGATCAGGTTTTTTATGGATGAACGCTTTAAAAATAAGTTTTCATTGTCGCAGGTAGCACAATGGTGAGAGTCAATACAAAGCATAATTGAAAACAGGTCTAAACAGCAAATGTATTTTCAGAATCACATGTTATGTGCGATGAAAACTCGTAACTGACAACACAGTCCACTCAAAACATGCATATAGCTGCAAAAATCAGCGGCGAAACCAAGACCTTACTTCTACAGGATCATTTCTACAGGTCTTATCGCGATCATTCACTCGAATTTTCGCGTGTCTCAAACCACGATGAGGAGTTGGGGTGAACTCTCTTGAGCGGGAAGCGGATCATAAGTTGCCCTATTGGACGACTTTTGATCATTGAAGACCGCTCCGTCGCTTGCCTTGGTAAGTGGCGGGGGAGAGTTCACGTTCTGAGTGGTTTGACTTATAATTATTTGAATGATGCGAGGATGAAAGCCCTGAACTTACGTATTCACGATGTACGCTTTTAGATTGGGTAGATGACAAAAGAGGAAATATATTTAAGCCATCTGAACATTTGACCATTGACCCGAACCTAAGTGTCTTTCGATGAATACCTTCGATATTTTGTGGCAGACTGGCGGCCTTATGTCGGGAAAACCAAGTTTGAGTTGTTCTGGCCTGCCGGCAGATTCAGGTCAGGACGCTTTGGAACTTGATTGATGCTTCTCGTGAAATTAAGCAACGTTTTCTGAGCTCATTGGTATCTTGCCGTCTCGCTACCTCATTTTTTCTTTCTCCAGGAAGACGCCAGAAGGATACTGAGTGAGCGCGCAGAGACAAGACTCAGCTGCTCCCGAGTCCCGAGCGACACATTGAGGAGCAGAGGTCCGCCGGAAACATGCACCATGGCCCCAGCGCGGATCCCGATAGGCCGCGGAGCGGCGCTGGCACCTGGGACTCGACTGGCGCAGACCAGAGCAGCGACTCCGGGCGCCGCGGCCGCACCCGCCGCCCGGCCGGTCGGCGGCCGACTGCCGTGCCTCTGCCACGGGACGCGCCGCCGCGTCCCTGTGGGCAGGGGCGACGCCAGGCACGGCGCCGGAGGAGCCGCTAGCACCGGCCGAGCATCCGATACCGTGGAACCGTACGGCTTATGATTTACTAGCAAGGCCGTCTGCCAACGCTGAGCATCTTTCCACACATTCAGATACGTCGAACAGGGACACTGGTTCCTTTTGATGCTGAAGAATGGTTGCGGGAAACAAAGAAAGCTCTGGATCCAACGCCACCCTTCCAACCGCCGAAATTTCGCTGGCAAAACCATCTCTTCCAGGGAAATTTCGGCTTATGTCATCTGCCAGTAGTGTTTAGATTGTTAGTTTTAGCCGTTGAGTGGTCATTTCGGCAACATGAATTTTAAGCAATAAAACTAATATGTTCCGTCACTTTTCCATCACACCAACCTCTTTAGGACAGCATGGTTTCAATAACTATCACCTCATCGTGACAAAAACTGGCAAAATCATTTCTGAATGTCAGCATCAGCATTTTGCGCCATCTTCCATCAGTCGGCCGCCGACCGGCCGGGCGGCGGGTGCGGCGCCCGGAGTCGCTGCTCCGGTCTGCGCCAGTCGAGTCTCAGGTGCCAGCAGCGCCGCTCCGCCGCCTATCGGGATCTGCGCTGGGGCCATGGCCGTGCGTGGAGACGGGGTTTCAGGTGCCCGTGGGCGGGGGCAGCCCCGTCACTCCGGTCCGGAGAAGGAGCCGTTTTCGGTAGCTGTTGTTATAGTTTCCGGCGGACCTCTGCTCCTCAGTGTGTCCCTGTTTGGTCACCTGATGGCTGGACAGCGGTGTTCCGGGCTCGGCTTCGGGTGGTGCCGCGCACAGTCGCCCAGACACGGTGACTGGTGACGTGGTGACTAGGAACAGCCGAGTCGCGTCCCTGTACGATCACTCAGTATGTGACCCGGGAGCAGCCGAGTCACTCTGCTTCCACTTAGCATGACTCGGGAGCAGCTGAGTCGCGTCTCTGCACGCTCACTCAGTATCCTTCCGGCGTCTTCCTGAAAGAAAGAAAAATGAGGTAGCGAGACGGCAAGACACCAATGAGAGTCAGAAAACGTTGCTTGATTTCACGATAAGCATCAATCAAGTTCCAAAGCGTCCTGACCTGAATCTGCCGGCAGGCCAGGAACAACTCAAAATTGGGTTTTCCGACATAAGGCGCTAGTCTACCACAAAATGTCGAAGGAATTTATCGAAAGACACATTCGGTTCGGGTTAAATGTTCAGATAGTTTATCGTATTTCCAATTCAAGATCACCTCCCGACATGGAATGTAACAAGTCTAGGTACGCAAACTTTCCACGATCCCGCATCATTCAAATGATATTGAGTCAAACCACTCAGAACGTGAACTCTCCCCCGTCACTTACCAAGGCAAATGACGGAACGGTCTTCAATGATCAACAGTCACCCAAAAGGGCATCTTATGATCCGCTTCCCGCTCAAGAGAGTTCACCACAACTCCTCATCGTGGTTTGAGACACGCGAAAATTCGAGTGAATGATCGCGATAAGACCTATAGAAATGATCCTGTAGAAGTAAGGTCTTGGTTTGGCCGCGGATTTTTGCACCTATATGCATGCTTTGAGTGGACTGTGCTGTCAGTTACGACTTTTCGTCGCACATAACATGTGATTCTGAAAATATATTGGCTGTTTAGACCTGTTTTCAACTATAATTTGTATTGACTCTCACCATTGTGCTACTTGCGACCATGAAAAGTTATTTTTTAAAAGCGTTCATCCATAAAAACCTGATCACATTTTGCCCTGTTGAATAAGCGCCACCTGTTATCACTATGGCAGCTACAGTTTCTAGTGACGGCTACTTGGTAGAGGAGTAGACCTGGCACAGCTATCGCTTTATAGGTCCTCCCTATCGACGGCGTTTAACTAATCATGTTGATTGTTTGCTCATTTTGAAAATTAAACAAACATTGAACGGCACACTGAGCAAAACTGCTCCCAAGTATCACTGTTTCCCGATGGATCGGCTGGAGGCGCTGCCCCGTTGTTCCGTGCGCCTGGCGCCGCCACTGCGCCACCGATCCGCGCTGTTCCGCTGGTGGCGCGTGGCCCGCTCGCTGTGTGCCGGTCGGCGGCGGACGCCAGTTGTCGGCCAGCCGCCGTCGCGGGCGGACACGATCCACGAGGTTCAGAGTCAGGGCTGGACCAGACGTATGACACACACATGGGACCGGAAGCCGCAAACAGCAGCCTTTGGCGAGACCGGCTCCTCTCGGCAGAGGCCTGCACACGCTGCCGTACACATGTTGTCCTGGCACCCGGTGCGGATAGTTGACGGCCTCTGCCCACGTGACCGGCACGGCTCTGATGCACGTCGACGGCGAATGCGCCACCGGTCCCTCACGGAGGCGCGCGAGTGCCGCCATGGAGTCGGCGCAGAAGATGATCGGGTCCTCCCCGTGTGCGGGGTCGTCTGTTGGGTAGTCGGTAGCTGCTTGGAGCGCGATCATCTCCGCTCTGTAACTGGAGCAGGGGCGGCCGGCGGCGACGACGAGCTCCGTCACCTCGCCGTCCGGCCTCTCGATTAACACGCCTGCTCCCGCTCCTCCGTCAGTGATGCCTTCGGAAGTTTTTGTTTTTACTATCATTATGTTTCTCTTGCCGAGACACGCTGAATGGTCAATAATGTGACCTTAGGACAAGCTCATGCTCTGCCAGAAAGAGGTCATGCTGCCCAAAAGTCGAGGAGTATTGTTGAGCTGAATGCATTCAGGATCTTCTATCACTCTAGCGTGTCTCCATCAAAAGTAATTGTCGAAACTACTTCTGATGACCTCTACTGGCTCCTGACAGACCGGTAGGAGCCATGCTGGTCACTGAGGATCCACGCTGTTTTCGCGCCATTCCCGTAAGAGCTCCATGTCGTTGACCTCTGAAGACCCCAGACATGACGCAGGCTTCGGAGGCCCACGTCGCCCCCGTGGGTCCTATATCCGCCCTGAGATCCTCGAGGGCAAACTCCGCCATGGTGGGGAGGGGGAGGGTCGAAATAGACGAAAGTTAACTTTTCATGGGCTCTGGTGACATGACCTTTCATTTTTCAGCTTCATGCTGATAAATATATTTTCGTAACACAATCATCGCAGTCACGTTACAAACTCACAGTGCCCTCAAGAATGGAGGACGAACTAAACGTTCGGTTGGTTACGGGCGGGAAGTGGCAGAGCCTACAGCCGCTGGTAGATGGCCGAGTAAAACAGCAAGTATCCGGCCGAGCTTCGCACGCTCCCCCCGCTCAGTTCGTGCACCTGATGGTCGTCGTACTTGTGCCACCTGTCCGTGTTGGGTGCGCGGCAGAAGGCTGTGTAGTGGCCACTGTCCATGGAACCGAAATGGTTCACCACACCGTACAGGTGATACCTGTGGTGCTGTTGGTGCGCATCCTTGGTAGCCAAGTGCGGTGACATGTCCAGGTTTTTTAGCGGAAACAGGACACTGGACTGATTCTTCTTCCACGCGCCGTCGTTGAAGAAGCGCTGTATGTGGATGATCAGTACTGGTGGAAGACGTCAGATGTCAAGCCGCTTGGTGGCCCCGTCACTGCTTTGACCTCCGGGCAAGTCCAGCCGCTGATTGTGCCGCCCTCCACAAAAAGCTGGATGCACTCGTGGAGCGAGCACTGACTGGCTCTGGCAGGCATCGGCACGGAGAGGTGTGAAAATGCCTCGAACTTCGCCGACTGGTTCCCGCCGCTGACGCAGCGCAGCGTGGACTTGTACTGGCCCCCGAACAGGTTCGAGATCGGAGACTGGCTGCTGCTCTGGGAGTCGTCCTGGAGGAGCTTGATGGCACGGGAGTCTGGGACACCGTCATTACCCTGCCCTCTGAGCATTTGTTTTCGGGATGCGTCGATCAGCTCCTCGTGCAAAGAGTTCAACTTTCAATTGAGTTCAAAGAGTTCAACTTTCAATTGACCTGAATTCTGAAACATGACTGAAGTAATTTCTTCGTGATTTTCGACGTTGGCTTCAGAATGCCGCCTACCGTATGTCGCTACGTGACCCAGGAGCCAAGCTTGAATGAGGTTTTCAAGCAGCCCGAGCATTGCGTGGAGCTGGAAAGCCAGGAACCCCAGCAGAATGCGGGCCTACGGATCTTTGATGGCCAACGCACTATGCAGACTCTTGAGGGCTTTAGGTGGGCTCGTGAGGACCCTAAACCGGCCCATTGCTAGCTAGCCCGCACCCAGCTGAGGGTCCATACCGGCCTCTAAGGGAAGGGCACACTGCGACATAAGAGGACTCTAACATGCATAATGGCTGAAGTCTGGCTGTCGAGGCCCTCGAGGTGGCTTCTGATAGCTCGACGCCAGTCTCAGAAGGTCCAGCGCTGGCTTCAGATGGTCCAGCACCAGCCTCAGACATCAAGGGACAGAGGGCCCCACGCGGACCTCAAAGTGCCCAACGCTGGCCTGGCACCAGAAGGTCCAATGCTGTTGGCCTCAGAGGGCTCCACGCTGGCCACAGCTAGGGCCCACACCGGCCTCAGAGGGCCCACATTGTCCTCAGAGGGCCTCAAGCCCCACGTCCGCCGGGACCACCGACGCTCCGCCCCGGCGGTCCCGGCGGCGGCCGGCCCAGGGAGACACCGGTTGGTCACGTGACTCGGAAACAAAAATCAGCTGATAGAGTGGCGGAATCGCCGTAATCGAACACGAATAATTCCGGACGATAGAGCGGCAGTATAGGAGTTTTCTTCACAACAGGCAAACATTGCAATGTTTTATCATTCTATGATCAAGAAACGTTCATAAATCATATATTTCTTCGATAATTACTGCCGCAACCGACGCGCACATATCGTAGCCAGCGTAGTCACATAGCGTAGCCAGCGCATAAAGCTGTGCTTTGCGATATTATATGTAAAGAAACGGCCAATGCTTAGTATGTGTAACAAAGCTCGAAGAAGATAGAATTATATCCTGCTTCAACCTTCTACTTACGCTTTTATAATTACGATAGCGACACCATACGGCCTATCGACGCTATGCAACTCTATGGAGTGTCCGGCCGCACTCTGCCGAGTGTGCCGAGATCAGAGGCGGACCATCCGCGGCACGTCCAGCTGCACTGCCCGGTCGCTGGGAGGGCGACACCTAGCGCCGCTCTGGCCGCTCGCTTCCGCGCACAACTAAGCTACCTGGCTACGCCTGTGGGAGGGGAGGGAGAAAACCAATAACAGTCTGATGAGCCAATGGAGTCTGTGAGCCACGCCAATCAGCGCCCTTCCGCGCGCAGACGAGAGCTAGAGCTATTCATCTTCTTTCCTGTTTTCACTGGTCCGCCAGTCACCAGCAACGTCCGTGCAGTCGATCGTAGCCATTTCGCGCCAGTCGGCCGCCAGGATATCTACAATATCTATTCTTGTATAGCATTGCAAGCATTTTAGTATTTGTAGCCGGGTGTTATCAGTAGTTGACGCATTTCTGTGTTTTGTGTAACACAATTGGAAAATACAGCGAAATACATACTTAAATTCACATAGTTTTTTATTCTTGGCACGGATTGCTTACCCTTGCTTCAGCAAACATCCATGATCCAATCTCCATATTTCTGTTCCGAAGCTGCAGTGGACACCAAAAATACATTACGTTATGATAACATAATCCAAAGATACACAGATTTCACGCTGAACTGCTAGGTTCCAGAGAAGGCATTTTCTCGCTCACGGATGCTCAGCAAAAACGCGCGATTGATTGCAGCTAGCGCCCTCACGATACAAATATCACGCTCGCTTAAACCTGCCGGTTACAGCCACTCACACCTTACTTCCAACCTCTGTTACATTTATTATTTATCAGCATATCGAGACAGAATGTGACCACGGCATGATCGTCAAATTACATAACAGAAATTGCAGGACATTGGCGAGTCCGTAAAAATACCCCAATCTCAGCCAACACCGTTGAGACGGAGGGGGAGGGGGGTCGAATCCGGGACACGTATCGGCGTATCCTTCACAGATCCAGGTGTCTCACGCTCATGGACGCTCAATCAACCCTGGCACACCATCCACCGATCACGTCGGCTCTCACTATCTTAATTTCGTACTGAGATCTTATGACGGGCCTGCCATTTGATCCTATCCGACAGTGCAGTGCACTACACCCGAACACAGCCTTAAGTGCACTATGCGGCCTTCTTCGGATGACGCCTCAGAACAGGGCACTCGGAGCAGGTGTTGCACCCAAATGCCTGTAGCCTCTTGTTCGTGCCCGGCAATCAGCTTTTCGGAGTCGGATGGTCTCAGGCGGTGGCAGCACTTGTCGCCGTGAAGCATTCGTTCAGGCGACACCGTCAGCTCGAGCGCCGGCAAGTCACGGAGTGACCTGTAGGGTGAAGTCGTATAAGAGTACGCACTTAGTGGATTTCTTGCTCTCATTTGTTTAATATTTGAAGGAAAGAAATCGCAAATAGGGAATATTAAAGTTCATTGAATTAGCCATCAACCCATGGGGCAACGATCCTTCAGCGTAAATGGAAGTGGTCTAAAACTGACATTTTCTGAACCGTTGCACTTGCGCACTCTTACCATATGGGGTGTGTAAGAGTACGCACGCCAGGCGGGTGGAGTACGCAAGCATATGAACACACACCTATGCAGCTTGCACTGTCCAAATGCTTAACTTCAAACTCAGAAGGCATTTAAGTTAATTCTAGTATCCCAAAAGAAAAATATAAAATAAATCTTTCAAGTCTATAAATCAGGAAATAATCATGTCGTGTGTTTCTGTAAAAAAAAAAAAATGCACAATCAAAAAGGAGAATAACTCGTATTTGGAAGAATTTCGGGTACGCATCTGCATCACAGTGCTCCATTGATGATATACCTACAAAACAAACGTCATTGAGCGATAGATTAATAATTATATATTTCTGCATATTCGATTTAATGTATAATTCTGCGTACTCTTACCCTCCTGAACAGTGCGTCCTCTTACCGTACATGCAATTCGCGCACAAAACAACCCCGAAACGTTGTGCAAAACTTCGCAAACAGAATATTGCACTGTACAGTATTTCCCCAGATAACCTCACAAGTTTCCCACAACAATCACGGAAATGTACCTCATCTCAACTGCCAAGTATCAAAACTATTGTACCATATCATAATAATATCATAACGCTCGAAAATAATATTCATCGCCTTAAACTCAACAGCGTCGCCGCTCAACGCCCACGTTCCGTTGGTGACATGCACGCACTGGCGGCTTCATGTCACTTCATGAACTCGACAAACCCGCGTTGCTAAGCAACCGAAACAGCTGATGCGTACTCTTATCGCCCGCGTACTCTTACCCGCCCTTACCCTAACACAGCGAGTCGCAGCACGTCACGTCTCACGACGACCGTCACGTTTCAGCCCCGACGGCCGTTATGTAACAGTCACGGCAGCCGTCACAAAACCAGCCACGGCGACCGTCACATTGTTCACCACGGTCGTAAAATACTAGCCACGGCGACCACGACTCATGGCTCATAACGTTTCCTGTCGCACACTTAGCTATAATAACAGTACATTAGCCTGTAAATACATTTCTCACTCAAGAAAATGACGCCCGAGCGAGTCCGAGATCCACCAAACGTCACGACACTGGCAACGGCACCCGCATTAGCCGGCATCCCGTCCCGGTAACATACCTACAAAGTTCCCTCAAGCCGCTCACCTACGGACGCGGCGACGTGTCACAAAATTGTAAGCACGTCACTGACCTGGTGACGTGGCGGGACACAGCTGACTGAGCAGTGGAGACGTTGCTTCACACAGTTACTGACCTGGAGATAATGTGATCGTTTCTGGACAACGTGACTGGATACGCGCGCCGCGTGGATGACCATCACACTCCACAACTTCTTGCCGAGTGACGTCCTACAGATGGATCGAACCGTTGTCTCCAGAACCACCGCCAGCAACGAGCCTGGTGGAGGATAATGTGTTCAGAACTCAGAAACCACAAAGCATAGTTACCTGCAATACAAACGACAAAGCCGGCCACAGGCACACAATGGCGAACTTTTGTGCTAAGACTTGGTTTCATCGGTACACACAAGATTGCAAACGTCCATGATGAAACTCAAATCACATATCTAGCAAGCAAATAAATACCTGAGAAAGCAGTGCACAGAACTTGTTTAATTATCTAGGTCCTAGGAGCTTATATCTCTGTATTGCACACACGGTGAGCAGACAAGCCTCTGCCAAGCCATACCTTCTTTGGCCCATATCAGTGAGCAGCTGATGTAGTCTGCCTGATTTTCGACATGTGTGAGGCTGGCGATGATTGCGTCTGCAGCGTCCCACGCGTAAGCCAAGCTGCCGAGAGCCATGCCAGCTAGTTGGAAGAGCTTCAGTTCAGCTAGCAAGTGCAGGTAGTAGCCATCCAGCAAGTCTGGCAGGAGGCACTTTCACCAACTTCTCAGGCGTTGACGAGATGGAGTGCCTGGGGTGTGTGCGCACCAAAAAGCAGCAACTGTATGCGCAGAACATTGGCGTAACCTGGATGAATGAAAGACAGAGGGAGTCAGGAGTACAGGGGTAGACAACTGATATAGACGAGGGGAGCACTGGAGACAACTCTACAACTCTAAGACAACTCTAAGACTCTCTACGACACAGACAACTCTACGACAACTCTAAGAAAGAACGAAGCTAAGCCTAAGGTGCCTCAAAGCACTTAACACATGCATTGAACATTGGATAGCCTACCTGTGCTTAAATTTGACTGAAATTATCTCAGGCGTATTGGAAGTGTATTTAGGGCCTTGTTGGAAGTTATCTTCAGAGACATGTGCATCAATAACTATTGCACTTCAAAGCTGTTCTTTTTTAGCACCTAGCTTTGTCAGACTAGGACCATATGAAAGCCATCTGCAGCACAAATGGATGGAACAATAGCCTGAGGAGGTAGTGGTATAAGTCACATTTATGAGGATCCATATTGAAGAAATTGTGATAAATGGCTCCCTTTCCCTCCTCATTGGAAGGAAGATGATGGTGACCCTGCCACTTTTTTCTACTAAGGAAAATAATCATACAAAATGAATAAAACTTACCTATCACTAATGGATTTACAAACTGTCACCTAAGTTAAAACATGCTGTCTACAACACAACAGCTTGAAAGCAAGTTTACCCAACCCACAAACAACCAACATTGCAGTTTCTGCGGGCGCCTGCGGCCTGCGGGTACCTAGCGCCTATCCTTTGTTGCAAAAACAAAATACGTGCATATGCCCACTCATGCGACATCTGCCTTACTAATATGACAATGGCCTGGGCTGGCGCCCTGGTGGGTTGTTAAAGCTGGACCCATCCAGTGGACAGGCCACTCATCCCCCTGACACTCGCTGCAACCGGCTACGGGAGTGCTGTAGTCCTATACGGGAGCTCAGCTAACCACATGAGATAAAGTTGTTCGTCCAGCCCAGAACAAGATGTTGTGGCATGGAAAAGGATTTGACTAGCCCAAGGCTATATAAACCGACTAGCCCAAGGATGAAATTGACGGAACAGGGGGGGGGGGAGGAGCGTCACAAAATGACTAGGCCCTGGGCAGGGGCCAAGGGATTTATACAGCTTTGGGGTAGAATACCTCCATACATTGAAGTCTAATTGTTACAAGACAATTGACAAACAAATCATAACAACATCAACTACATACCTTTGCCCCGGTTTTCTGAATCTCAATTAAACCATTTAAACCAAGGAAAAGAAGATAAAGTACAAAATCAGCCAGCCTAGCACTAATAAGTGATAACCTCTCAAGATAAAATATAGGTTTTAAAAGTAGGTACCTACTACCTACCTTTCATTATCAGTCCCGTCAACCTATCTACAGCATTTTTGTCAAAATGAAATCTAAAATCAGAAAAATCTTGTCCACAAAATACGTGCAAAATACACAACGGCATACACGGCATTATTTACAAGTTAAACAAGTGTTCTCTGTTAGCAAATAAAACGCCGTTCGACCAATCCATTGCCAACGCTTGCGTCTGCTAGCGACAAATATCTCGTTAGCAGCATTTACTGCGCGCAACTGCGGGTGTGTAATCATGATCGGCAGTTTTCAATACCAAATTTCGTAAAGTTGCAACGTTTATTTTGTTTCACAACTGATACCAATAGATTGAAAATTTAATCTAATTTAGTATACTATTCAAAATAGACCCCAACTCAGTCTCGTTTCTGAGTATTTTGCCATTAATTGTCACAGTGTGACCTTTAGCAGCAAGAAACCTAGTACATTCTAGACAAAAAAAATATACAATACAACACCACAACTGCAATAAAACATGCATATTTGGAAAGAAAACGAAATTTTCATTTTGTTGAAGTCATTTTGCAAGCTCACTCTTGGCATATTTACCAAATATCAATGTTTTTGTTCAGAACTGTTCAGTACCATAAATTCTAAGTTTTAGATTCGGAAGCAGATTGGCTAAAGTTCCAACGTTTGTTTCGTTTCAGTATTTTGATATGTTATAGTGTATGCAATTTCGTATGTGTTGGTGTTTTTTTTAGACCCCAACTCGACTTCGTTTTTTAGAAATATTATATTTAGTGGAGCATTGTGACCATGGACAACAATGGTGGCTATGTAATCAACGTCAACTAAATGCAGTTTGCAACATTAAAAAGGCAACGAGACACCAAAAATCTGAAAGATAATTTAATTTTGATATTTATCGACCATAATTTAAGCCCCAAGTCACTGAAATTACTCGACCATTGATGGTAGAGCATTGGCAGGTCGGGTAGGCTGAACTGCTCAGAACCATGGTAATTTCGAAATTCAACAAAAGTGAGTTGGCCTTTGATATTACCTTTTGTCCTTTAATTTTAAATTTTGATTGTGAAAAATCAATCTTGTCTATGAACAATCCTTGCAACTTTAGATAGTTAATTTTTGAAATGGCGGAGATAGCCAACAATTTATTTTCGTTAATGCTTCGCAGATTCATACATGGCGTGCTCTCTGATCATAAATCAAAAATATATATACAAATAATAAAACTCATTGGAATTTGTTGCTTATTTCTCTTTTTTAGACTTAAAGGGTCAGCTGAAAATAGTGGTCAAAATACCTTAGTGTTGTAATTTCGAACCGGTTTTACCTAGTTCTCTACATACCGTGGGCCGGCCGACTGCCGCTCCCTTCATAGGCATCACCGCCGGGAGCGTCCGGCAGGGGCGACGCCAGGAGCGGTTCAGGGGAGGTCGTTATGGTTGAACGGTGAAATAGGGAGTGGTTTAACAAGTACTTAACGCGACGTTCTTGCAGTGTTGTAGCATGTTCCACAGCATGCTGAAAAGACAGGACGCGAAAGTTTCTAGAACCAGCGTTGTGGCCAAACGAGCCTGAGTGGGCTGGGCCCGTATTCACGTCGACATCTTACGATCAGTTTTCATCGTACGATCGATTTGGTATTCATGTTGACCATCTTAACTTTTTATCGTACGATCAGTCTGGATGTTTAGGATACTTCTAATTCACGTTGACAATCTTAAGATAATTCGGTATTCATGTCAAAAGTCCTAGGATTCATCCTACGATCCAACTTAAGATGTCGTAGCAGTTCCGAAGATTTGATTTTAGCAGCATATTCCGGGACGACATAGAAAATGGATCCTCCGTCAAATGATACAGCAAACGAAATATATTCAAACATTTATTAGTGAGCTATTCTTAACATTATAAAAGTACCACAGATTTAGTATGCTTTAAAGTTAATATGGAAATTATTTTACCATTAGGTATTATGGAAACTATATTATTATATTACAAATGATCATATGAAGAATAAATCGATAAAACATGCATTTTAACCCTCGCCGACACAGGGTTGATGCAACCCCCATAAGGTTTATCGGGAATAACTCGCGTAAAAAGCGGCCGATCGCGACGAAACTTTCAGTGCCCTCGCATTGATCAATTTTACACCTACCGTGAAAATTTCATGACCCTGACCCAAATGACCTTTGACCTGTGACTTTTTTTCCGAGACCATGTTTGGCCGGAATCGCGATTCGGCGTATGTCGGCTCGCATTAGCCGCGCGTTTGCAATCTTTTCGTGGTTTCAAACGTTCAAACATGTGATTTGATGTTGCTCCCATGCATTAGGGTGGGTGTCAAGATCACCTGAAGGTCAGGTCATTGACCGTTGGTGACCTCGGTTCACTTGTTCGAGTTTTACATGTTCCTAGGCTAGTTTTTGGAGCTGAATTCGAATTTAGCAACCATCTGAACATTAACGAAGTAGTTTTGGTGCCTTCGTAATATGTTACGAAGCTGTCAGAGGCGGATGACAGGTACTACTAATACCCGTCACGACCCCTACCGGTTGACCTGACCTGACCTGACCCGACCTGGTCTAAATGCTTAACCCGCGCATGACTGGGGGGGGGGGGGGCTCTACAGAGCCCCCCTCCCGTTTTTCAGCAATATTTTCTAAACCGTTTGACGGATCAACACGAAACTTGCGGTACCTTCAGAGGCATCAATTTGACACCTTGTGGTAAAATTTCAACTTTCTAGCTACTACAGTTTGGCCGGAAATGACGTCAGAGTGACGTCATGTCGGCCGATTTTCATGCAAAATACTGAATTACGGCAAACGCTCTCAAGAGCTCAGTTTTAGAGCTAGATCCATTTTCTTTGCATGAGTGAACTACAAATACACGTAGCTATCGAACTGCTATCTCGAATTTTCGAAATTTTGAAAATTTTGAAAAATATGTATTTACAATTACAGATTTTTCAAAAAGTTTTTGACTTTTCGCAAAAACCGGAATATATGTGGTAGAACACACACTGATGAACTACATTTGCAAGTTTTAGCCCAATGTCTTCAAAAATAGCCAAATTATTCGCATTATTGTCAAAATTTTACAATGTTATGTTTTTTTTCAAATCCATTTTTCAGTACGTTTTTGACGTCTTACAGCAATATAAATGGCACCATCGTGTTCTTGAGCTCAAACTGCATCTGATAGGCACCTTTTTGTTGAAAAATTTCATTCTTAAAAATTTGACCTTTTCTGACCTGAAAGTGACCTGACCTCCGGTAAATTCAGCTGCCAATGACCTCAAATGACACAGACGACACTATTTTCGAAATCTACGAGTAAAATGGACCATAAAACATGCGTCACGTGACCGATACATGATATACAATTTTCGTGACCTAGGATGACCTGGCCTTGACCTTAAAAATTCGAAGTAAAAGTTCGGTACCCTCAGGGTATCTAAGGCATCCGTCAAGGAGTGCGTAAACCAAAAATGAGCCTGATCGGACTGGCGGTCCGGCGGTCAGAGCCTAACTTGTGAACTAGCAAAAATGTCGATAATTTTTACTTTGACCTGATATTCGAAACTGCTATTCCAGTTCAAAACCCCATGTTAAAAGTGAGCTATTTCCTTTAATATTGTTCAATGAAATGTGGTAGATATTCATTTTTGCTCAATCTCCAGGTACCATGCAACACTACTTCTATGCCAGTTCATTAACTTTTTTGAAGGTGGGAGGGTCCTTTCAAGCACGAACCATCCTACTAGTCGGTCCCTAATGGTGCACCAAATTTGAGCGCATGTGCAATTTTGCGCGTGCGCACGTGCCAATTGCGTCACAATTGACTTTTGCTCGGCACCCTCCTAAGCGATTCCTAAAGGTGTACCAAATTTAAGCGCAATCGGCCCAGCCGTTCTCGAGATCCGGAAGCGGCCTCTTGCGCGTGCGCAAGTGCGAAGTGCGAACAGGGTCACAATTGACTTTTGCTCGACAACCTCCTGAGCGATTCCTAAAGGCGTACCAACTTTAAGCGCAATCGGCCTAGCCGTCCTCGAGACCCGGAAGCGGCCTGCTGCACGCGCGCACGTGCAACCGGAGTCACAAATGACATTTGCTCGGCACCCTCTTAAGCGGTTCCTAAAGGTGTACCAAATTTGGGCGCAATCGGCCTCGCCGTTTTCTATATATGGAAGCGGCCTCCTGCACGTGCGCACGTGCAAACGGGGTCCCAAACGACTTTTGCCCGGCACGCTACTAAGCGGTCCCTACCGGTGTGCCAATTTTGAGCGCAATTGGTCCAGCCGTTCCCGAGATCTAGGAGCGACCAGTGACCACTGCACGTGCGCACGTGCAGTAGTACCCCTAACGTGACACATGAAAATGCATTGCCCGATGAGTGCCTACCCACATGCCAAGTTTCAGCGCTATGAGCACGATAATTGCATAGTTATTGTAATTGACACAAACATGACATCTCTTTATTATGCACGTGGCACGTGCAGCCATGGTTGGTCACCCACATGCATCGAGAAAAGTCGTGTCCTCGGCAAAATGGATGAAAATACCCTACAAACATATTTCCTAGTAAATCGATCCTGTGCTTACACAGACATAATCCTCTCAAAAACGTACATTCAGCAGAACGACTTTGGGTTCTGAGTTGACACCCTTGGCTTCGCAAGAGCCACATGACACGGCGATCACCCAGGTGCATCAAGAGTAGTCAATTACGAGGTAGGAGGGATGGGGCTACCAAACAAAAAAGACCGCGGTTCAATCGGCCCAGCGGTGGCCGAGATAAAAGCTTCTCAAAAGCGTTATAGGGCGGGCCGGTCCGAGCTGTACCGCTCATACTGATATTTTCCCGTTACATTGAAAACTCTTTTCCGCGCTCGCTCGCAAGAAAAAAAATCATAAACAGCAATTTCAATACCTAAATATACAATTCATAAGCATAGGTGACGTCTTACGACAGCTCAGTGAGTAGTCGTATCTTCACAATACCTTCATCATTAAGGTCTTACGATCATCTTAAGATTCGACTTAAGATGTCCCGACGTGAATCGCACTTACGATCGATCGTACGACAAATGT